TGCCATCTCACCCGCAACCGCTGCCATGTCGCCGCCCCGGCCGATGGCCACCGCGCCGGCGGCGAAGCCGGCGAAGGGACGAGGTGGCGGAAAACGGCCGGCCAACCGCGGCCGCAACCCGACCGACAGTTTTACGCGGCCGGTGAAGGTCTCCAAGGCGGCCGCGGCGGCTCGGGGCGACGACTCGCAGCCGGTGCGGCCGACGGCCTCCCCCAACAGCCACACATCCATTCCTCAACCTCCCCCGCCGCCACCGCCGGCCGTGGAGGAAGACGTGGCCACGCCGACCGCCACCGCCTCCAACATGTTTGACGAAATGTCGCAAAGGTATAGATTTTCTGATTGTGCTCTCGTTTGTTCATGGAAGGTGGCTTTGGCGGCATGGGAGGTAGCTTTGGCGGCAACATGATGGGTGGCTTGGGAGGTGGCTATGGCGGCAACATGAGTGGCGTTGGAGTTGGCTTCGTCGGCAACATGACCGGTATGGGACGCAATGAAGATGCTTCCGGTGGTGCTCACGGTACCGAGAGTTCACCGCTTGTTGAGAACGTCGACAAAGACGGTGGTGAAGATGACGATCGTACCATGGTTCACAACGCCGGTGGTGTTGATGACCCGCGTGAGTAATATTCATGTGCATTTCAATTTCTAGGGCGAAAAACTTTGACTAAGACGATGCTCTTTTGATAGAGGGATTTGATACTATGATGGTGATGCACTTTTGATTGAAACTATGATGATGATGCACTTTATTTTTAAATTTTTGATGTTATTTCAATGCAAAACCGCGGCTGGCAGCAGCCGCACGGCCGTTTTCAGATTTTTACATCTTTGGTTTGGACCATTTATTGGAGTTGCTCTTTTGGACCATCTGTTGGAGTTAAGCGTTTCTCGGAGCTCCAAAATGCACTTTTTGGCGGTCTAAATTTTACATCTCCGGTTTTGGACCGTCAAAATTTGGACCATCTATTGAAGATGCTCTAAGGTCACCTTATTAATGAGAAAGGGTGCCAGAACATTAGGCCGTGCACAACGAAACACCAGGTTTTGCACCTGTGCATAACATGATTTTTTGCATGTATTCCCTCAGCCAGCTAAACTCAGCCACGGATAAATAGACCAAAAACGATGTAGATAACCAAACAGGCCATAACATGCAGGAAAGCAACTAGTCCACTTTTCAACTTCCCCGTGGGCTCTTCTAATCCTTTTGATGTTTCTCTTCTGCACATACATTTTGCTAGTATTCCCGTGTTAGACACTCATAAAATGAGGCTACTGCTTATATTCTCAAAATTACCAGTATACCTTTTCGATGGAAAATTACCAGTATATTAGTATTACATAAATCAAGAACAAAACATATTTGAAATGGATTCATCTTACAATCAGAACAGAAGAAATAGCCTGGTGTGCATTTCAGCCAAGTCTTGATTCCCGACGTAAAACCTGAAAATGAGCATTTATTCAGAAAAGGTCACCTCAATCAATCTACAACATTAGTCGCAAATACTCCATTTCTTACTGCCTTTCATCTTTCATCTCTACTACAGGTGACAACAAATTTGGGCACTAGCTCATTATATCATGTTCAGCCGATTACAATCGAACGTCAATTATCTAGAACCTGCCACATATTTCTAAAGAGGATCTCTTTTCAGTTGGGGTGCTTAGCTAGTAAACACACCTTAACATACACCATGCATGCGACTCATATTTAATAAATATTCTACAACTATACAATAATAAAATACAACAAATTATATTAGCTCAGTAATTCTCATATTGTTAATCCAACTAATGTTTCATACAACCGAATCTCATTGAAATAATTGCAGCCAACTCCCACAGCAATGTGTGGGGGGTATCATCTCTAGTTACATCTATTTTAGGCACTTAGAGCATCTACAACAGGACCCCTCAAACTGCCCCCAAACGTCTGGGCGGGCAGCCCGGGCAGTGCCGGA